CTGACAGGCTACAGGAACTGAGTCTCTTTAGTCTGAACGGAGTGTCCCACACTGGCTGTGCAGGAAAGTGCATAGCCAGGCGTTACTGTAAATAATCCAGCGTGTGTTTTCCTCTGCCTTTACTGTATCGGGATCAGCGAGTGTGTGCGATCGGACTTCTGTGGCGTCAGTACTCTGCACAAGAGGTGCTTCCTCACCTGTCCTTCACAAGACTGCTGTCGGCCTAGTCACCGCTGGCACCCCGAGTCCCACCTGCCTGAGTGCTGAGGGACCCGCCCTTTCAGCTGACTGACAGGCCCCCGGTCTCTCCTCTGTCCACACAGGGAAATGGGACAGGCTGGGGCAGAGCCTGAGCCTGGAGCTGGGTGTCCACTGGGACAGAAACCGGGGTGCGTGGGGTCAGAGGTGAGCAGCTCCAGCTCGGAGACTGACCTGCGCTGGCCAGCGGGATTCATCTGGCCGGCGGACAGCGACGCAGACACGCACACAGACAGGAAGGGAAGACTGTCACAGCGCTTTGCTTGAGAGTTTTATTGAAAGAACTGCTGACAGATGCAAAAAATTGTCAGAGAACAGGTGTGCCGCTGGGGTGGGAGAGAACACAGCGGAGCGCAGAGGGGCATGCTGGGCCGCCGGGCGGGAGAGGCACAGGGAGGGGCAGGAACACCTTCAGAAGGGCAAACACAAAACAGGAGACAGAGAAGAAAAATAGTGTATCCGTATATCGCCATGAGTGGCATTTCCCAGAGTGCTTCCCTGTGTGCTGGATCACAAGCCTCTCTGCGACTGGCCGGGTCCGGCCTCACCCTCCGGCTGCTCTCCTGGCTCCGGCTCCGGCGGAGGGGGCGGGGGGGCTGCGCAGGGCGGGATGGTGAGGTGGGGGAAGGGGGGCAGGCTGGGGCGCGTGGCGGGGGCCAGGGGGGCGCGCGCTGGGGAGGGCCGGTCGCTGATTTGCTCCAGCAGGGAAGGCATGTCGCCCTCGATCTTCTCCAGCACTGCGGCCATCTGCTTCTCGATCTGCTCGATCACGCTGTCCATGTGCCAGTCGCCGGCGGCCTCGCGCTGCCCCTGGACGGGCACGGTCTTCCGGTGTGCCGCGCCCGGGGAGCCCCGGGCCGCGCCGGGGTCCCTGCGTCCGGGGCTCCCGTCCTGGGGCTCCCTTGCGCCCCTCCTCTCCGCCACGGCCTCGGGCAGCTGTGTCTGGCACCAGCTCTCCGC